AATACCTTTACGAGTATGAAAACTGTAACAATGAAACTATAGGCAATAACTCACCTCGTTAGGTGAAAATATCCTCTTCCCTACTTCCCACCCGCCTTTCGTTTATCATCTCCAGTTGAGAATTTTGCCAATGTAAGCAAAATTCGATGCATCACGTTTAAAATTCAGATAGCTAATTATGCATTTTTGTCTCCGCTGGATCAAGGTCAGTCACTTTTGCACGGTAATCAGCTCCCTCTAATTTATCAAACTGTGTCTTCATGACGCAAAGCGGCAAGAACACATAGCGCGTTCTTCAGAAAAGTCACACACGTTTGAGCAGACGATAATTTTAACGGGCTCCTCATTTACAAAGAATGATTTCTGACGAGACAATGAAAATTTTATTTGCCTCTCTTATACTCCCACACATTTCTCCCCCTTCCTGAGTTACGAAGATGGAAATGCGAGATTAATGAGTTATAAATGAGACCCAACAGATATTTTCATGTACAGCCATTATTTTTATGGAGTGTCTTCACGACACAGGCCACATACTACATTAGCATATAGAAAAACTAACCATAAGAGGGTCCGCCACCACCACTGTTGTAACTGATTGCGACTGGTGCAGCTGGTTGCGCAAGATAGGTACCACCGGGCGCACCTAATGGCCCCGGTACTGGTGGTGCTGCAAAACTTCCTCCGGCACCGCAACCACCCCCGCCGCAGCCACCGCCTCCTCCACCAACAGATGGCGTACCGTAACTGAAATTTCAAAAGCTAACACAAACAGCAAGGGTACTCCGTTCTAGCGGTTTTTGCTAGGCAATTTCAAATTGTGTTTGGAAACTAGAAAAATAAAAAAAAAAAATTCTAAATTATGCATCAGCAACAGTGGTGTTATCGAGGCAGGAGAAAAAGACTTCGCGGGCATGTGCTTTCTTTTTGGGAAGTATACAGTTTTGGTGTGTCGAAGATTTGATCTCGCCAGCAGAACAAATTCGTTTCGATAATAAACTGATATTGACACGTACCAGAAAGTAAAATCTGCTATGGCTCAATTCAACCCTAGAAAGAAGTCATTCACAGTCTTTTTGCAGTGGGTGGTTGCTGTTGACGTTTCTAGCACTGAGCTATTACCGAAGTGCCGCGCTTCTCACAGACAAATGCGGAAGGAGTTTTGATAGCACATAGCAGTAAAAACACACTACTTTCTACACTGATAGTTATTACAGCACTTTTATAGTAATGTTGCATAGCAGACTTGATGAATTCGTGGCGAGCAACGTCGATTATTGTTATTGCCCATTACTTGTTCCTATCTTCCTCTACTATTAGCGATGACAGCTTGGAAAAGTTTTTTTTCTCGACTAACCCCTTTTTTACTTCACTTTGTGCCGCCTCAGGATTAATGATTTTCCATTTAGAGAGACATTTTTACTTTGATTGTTTTTCGATGCCTTTATAAATGAAATCCCTTTGCAGATCCGCAAATTACATCCAGGTTTGCCAACATTTCTCGTACAATCATTAATTTAGTGAGCGGGAAAGTGTTCAGTGATGAGGTACGCCACAATTAGATCTAATTGCCCGTGATGAAAAATTACTTTTTGATTCAAGCCGGTGATGAAAATCATTTTTCTTCACTAAGCTTATAGCTTTTTCTCCGCATGACTTTGCTTACCTAAAATATTGAAGCTCTTGCATACGTTTTATCTGCTTAATATATACAGGTTGCATATATAGAATTTGATATAAATTTTATGTATAGGTAAATAACAGATGGGAAGAGTAAAGTTGGGAACATAGCCAGCATTATTAGAAAAGAAGGAGCACTTTGCAATATTTTTAGCATTTTTGCAAATATCTTGGAAGAACAGACATTCTTATGTACTGATAAATGCTTCCCAAAAAACCTAAAAAATTACTACACTAAGACATTCCAGATAATTGATTTATAAATTTGATCGCAGTACTGCAACTGCAACACATCCATACATTGCAAATGGTTATTCTAGGTCTCACAGTTCTGAGTTAAGTGCCCACTGACCGCTCACTGTGCGTGTGTCTCTTCGAGGCCATCTTATTTAATACTTGCTTTTTTGCAAGTACCATTCACAGGTGTGAGTCGCGTGTCATCAAAGATACGTTATCCTGACTAGGTGGACTTTATTTTAACGCGGCCACAGTGACTACCTGCTCTCCCTTTAACCTGGCGGAGCGTCTGAGACTACTCATATGCTCACAAAATACGTCTAAATCATCCTTCACTTTGCGGTTCCTCCCTTCCCCCCCCCCCCCCCCCCCCCCCCCCCCC